ATGTCGGTTATATGCGATGAACTACTCATGAAAAACCTTGTGATCCTTAGCTTTAAAATCAATTATTTTATATATTTTTAACTGTAAAATGATTTCCATATGCTCGTGATTTCGACGATTTGTTTTTAGCATATTACATTCCAACGCTTAAAATATTAAAAATCGTGCTTATATTTTATTTTTAATATCTTTAAATAGCTATGATAAAGACTTATGCACGAAGAGCCTTGTATTATATTTTTAAGCTTTTTAACCACAAAAAATAATTTTGTCGACATTTATAGGGGAAACAATTTAAAATTTCCAATGTCTATAAATAGCTCAACAACAATCAAAATCTTTAGGAAATTATTCCTAATAATATGCCCACGGTAACCTCCTTACCACTTCAATATTTTCAGACAGTATACGAAAATACCCAAAGATAACAATTAAATAATTAATTAAAAAATCAATAAGTAATTTTTCGCTAACGTTGTTGCGGTATAGCTACCGACTGACTCTTTTGTCTGTGGTAACACAACCGATGACCATTTCTGGATGTGATGAAATAATATAATAATACAAGATATAAATAGTTTTCAAAAAAATTTTTAATAATATATTGATCAATTCAACCCAGTACAAAACAAAAATATAATAATAAACTCATAATTTTTCTCTAATGATGTGTCATGTGTGTTTTTTAAGTAGGTAAGCACTTAAAAATAATAGTAAAATTAATAGCGTTTAGAAACCAATATTTTTGTTTTGGAAAAAGTTAATTTTGCAACATTGCCAATTGAATACCATAAAAAACATTCAACTAATTTTATTCTGAAAAATAGCTCAGACCTTAATTATAATAATATGGTAAATTACTGAATGGAACTATATGTTAATATCCCACGTAATATCCTTTTTAAGGTTACATTTTGAATTAATATTTATGAGGGATATTTTGTCATGGAATATTTTTGCGGGGATATTTGGGTTTTGGGATATTTTGTGCAATTTTTGACTGGGATATTTTGACATAAAGAAATATTATCGAACATTATTATACATAGAATTACTTACTGTCAAATGTCATTAGAAATAATAGAACTACACAAACTATATCAGTAGTTTTGATTTTGTGATAGAAAACTTTGCATCTACAAGTTGTCGTACAATAAATTCGTATACTGAATTTTATATTGTCATTGACATGTGCATGCGCTTACGAGAGTGTTATTGAATTCACTCACAATAATAATCATTTACAACTATACTCTATTCCCTGTAAGTTTACCCACTTTTTGGTTTTTGCCCGAGTGTAGTGAAAACGTTGTGACAATACAGTTCATTGTAGTCCTACATTTTCACGAAACACCATACTGTGTACTTGTATTCGCAGTGAACTTGTATTGTCACAACGTCTTCACCATACTCTGGGTGGGCAAAAAACTAAAAGTGGGTAAACTTAAGGGGAATAGAGTATATTATAACTGTAGACACATAGATCACTGGCTGCTTTTACCATAACTTCCAAATTTAGTTTAAGTGCCTTTTAGTATTTTTAGTTACTTTTAATTTTTTTCAAATTAAGAATGTAAAAACACACATATTTAAAAAATAAATTTAAAGAATTGTTTAGAATGCCCAACCATTAATATTGTTTAATTAACGAAAAGTTTAAATTTAGTTATTTTAATATAATATACTGATATAATATATAAAATACAATTAGTAATAAACTAATAACTTTCATGCGAAAAGAAGTTATAGTAGATTTATCAAGAAAAATGATTGGGTAGCACAGACTATTCGAATAATTTTCAACAAAACAAGTTATTCAGTCGAGTATTTTATTATATTTTAAATGACTATTTGATAGCACAAATTATTCTTAACCTCCCATCATTACGGCTTTTATATTTAAAGGGGCAACATTTAGGCAATTTCTAATCTCGTCCTAGGGGCCAGTGATCTATACAGTCATACAGTCATAATCTATTATCTAAGTTTACCCACTTTTAGTTTTTTCCCACCCAGAGTATGGTGAAAACGTTGTGACAATACGGTTCATCGTGGTCCTACATTTTCACGAAACACCTGCACTGTGTTTGAAATTGCCTAAATGTTGCCCCTTAAAATATAAAATACGTAATGATGGGCGGTTACGAATAATTAATTGTACCCAGTGGCGTATATAGGGAGTGGGCATAGTGGGCTGCAGCCCCCCCCCAAATTACAGTATTTTTAAATAGAACAACAATATAATTTATTGGGTAATATTATAAGTTATAATATTTCATAGCCTGTTGAAAAATAGCAAATACGAATATATTTATAGGAACTGTTAAATATATAGTAAACAGTAGCCTCTAAGTAATAGATCACTTGCTAGTTTCTATCTACTATAGCCCACATCAAAAATTATTTCTATATACTCCACTGGTAGTACCAGTAAACTTCATTAACTTATGAGGCACAATAATTTATAAAAGTAATAAATTATAAATACTTATTTAAGTAATTATTTATTTACGTAAATGGTAACTGAGAAAGATTGGCTTAGTCTTAGTAGACACTTAATAAATTATTTTAATATGTGAAATGCCTCTAGTCTCTAGGACACCCACCGCCCTTTAAACTGAAGCATGGTCCTCAAATAAAGTCCTTCGTCACGCCACTGAATTGTACTATCGAAGAATATTCGGTTATTCGTACAAACTATCGAACAATCATTCAAATAATAAAATACTCGACTGAATAACTTGTTTTTTTGAAAATTATTCTAATAGTCTGTGCTAACAAATCATTTTTCTTAATAAATTTTCTATAACTAATTATCGCTGGAAAGTTAATACTATTTGTATTTTATATATAAATCAGTATATTATTTTTAAAGAACTTAATTTAAACTTTTCGATAATAAAACAATATTAATGGTTGGGCATCCTAAACAATTCTTTGGAATTTTTTTTTTAAATATGTGTGTTTTTACATGCTTAATTCGATAAAAATTAAAGGTACTAAGAGCCACTCAAACTCACTTTGGAAATTATGGTTAAAAAAACTTCAAAATGTTCAATTCTTAAAAAATGTATTTTTGAGTTTAAATTGTTTAGAAATAATAGTATTTCTTTACTTAACATTTTGGTAAAATCAGAATTTAGTATTTGCCTATCATACTTAATTTTTATGTTATTGTTAATAAACCATCTTAAAACTGAATTATAAAGTTATTTCAAACATTTGTATATTAGCTGGTACTTACCTCAAACTGTTTTAGATTCTGAGTGATACGATGAATGTATTGATTTTACAATGATGTGTGTTTTTTTTTTATTTTTTTTTTTGTGTCTGTCATCACGGTTTGGGGCCGTAAAACTGCAACAGTATCTTGTTCTCGATAGGAAAGTGAATCTAGTTGGTGCATTTGGGAGGTTAAACTTTAAAATTCTCAATAGTTTTCACTTTTCACAAGCGCCGGGAAAAACAACATACAAATTAAGGAAAAACTGGAATTTTCACGCAAAATCGGTTTTCCAAAAAATTGATTTTAGTTTTTGGTGTAACTCTAAAACAAATTAACGTATATACATGAAATTTTCAATAGTTGTTATTATATTTTTTATACACAGTAAAATTTTCAAAATATTATGATTTGTTTTGAACTGTTTAGGAACATATTCATTTTCCATTTTTTTTTATAGAAATATCAATAACATTTTATGTGTTAGTTAAAAAAGCTTGAAAATTTAATAGAAGACTCCTAGTATATTGCTTCAAAGGTAGATGAAAAGCATTAAAAATCCTTAGTCACTGTTTTTTTTATACAAGCATTTAAAGTTCAAAAATTGATAAATATGGAAACATCACTAAAATTAGCAAATTATTTTGAGTTAAGAATTCGTTAAAATTTTTATTTTTAAACATAAGATATGAAAATGTAATACAAGCTTCCTCATAAGTTTGTATACCTTTATCAAAAAAAATGTCTATAAGAAAGTGAAAATAAATTTTTATGAGCGTTTGAAATTCAAATTTGTACAACATTGGATATTCACTCGATTTCTCATGTAGGGATTTCTTTATTTTGTTGTATTCAAAAACGAATAACTGTAGATACATGAAAATTTCCTTGAATGTTTATATTAGCATTTCCTATACACCATACAATTTTCAAAATATTTTGACTCTTTATGAGCTGTTTACGGACATTTTCAGTTTTCAATTTTTTTAGTTTTTTTTTCTATAAATATCAATAAAGTTTTATCTGTTTGGCCAAAAAGTGTAAAAATTTAATACAAGGCTCCAGACATATTGTTACAATTTCAGTTGAAAAATATTAAAATACATAGGCAAAATTTTTTTTCATAAGCATTTAAAGATTGAATTTCGACCAAATTTATCAAATTTAAAATTGAATAATTATTTTGTAGTTAAAAATTTATAAAATGTTCAACTTTTATATCTAAGGATTGAAAGTTTATAATAAGATTCCACGTAAGTAGTTAATTCTGTTACCAAAAAATCTAAAAAATACATAAGCAAAGCTTATTTTTATAGTCATTTTAAGTTCAAATTTGGACGAAATTACATAATAAAAAACCTAGAATAACTATTTTAGTTATTTTGTTGTGATTGTATAATATTATACAATATTATTCGTGGGTACTTGAAACTTCTAAAGTACACTATTGTATTTCTATGATAGTATCACGGTGTGTTATTGATGTATAACGCGTTTTAAGTACCTAATGGATTTGATATTATGATTAATTTGGAATTTATTATAGGTACCTATTCAGGGCCGTATTGCGGTTTGGTGGCGCCCCTGGCGAATCACTGCATTTGCGCCCCCTCCCCCTCCTCCAAATTAAAAATATACATTAGTTTATAAAAACATTTGAGATATATAAAACATGTAAAAACACATAGTACCTATATATCAAGTAATAATAACTAATAACATACAACTATTGTGTTTAATAATTTTTAATTTATTTTTATATAAATTTTACACAATATTACAAAGGTACTTTTCTTGATTTAATTGAAGCAAATTGATCAATGACATCATCAAATGAAATTGTCTTCACTATATCTTTTTCTATAGATAATATAGCCATTCCGGTGAGACGATTTTGACTTATTGTTGATCTTAGATAATTTTTTATGATTTTCAGCTTGCTGAAACTCCTTTCACAAGAAGCCGTAGTGACAGGAATTGTTAAAAATATCCGTAGTGCTACCTCTAAATTCGGATATAAATCTTTTAAAGAGTACTGATGAATATGCTTTAGAATATCTAGCTGAGTTGCATTCTCAAATTTTGTCATTAATAATGGAGCCTGATATTTGAAATTCTCAATTTCAGAATACAACTCTGCAGCATTTAAATCTCAATCATACTTCAATGCCAAATCTTTAACCCAGAGTTTTATTTTTTCAGACTCCATAGTTGATAATAAGTTACCAGACAAAAAATTAAAATCAGATGAGATTTGTGACATTTTTTCAAACCTCCAACATAAACTGGATAGAATAGAATCTAATGCTTCATAACATTGAGCTCTAAATTTATTTTCTGTGTCTTTTGATTCAACAGAGGTACGTTTGTTGGTAAATTCAGAAGTAATATTTAAGGATTTGGCCATATCTTTTGCCTCACTCAGACATTTTTGAAAACCATTTTCAATTATTTCTTGAATTGATTTTATTAAACCGTTCAACATTTTAACAGCTACATCTATGGTTTGGTTTTTAGTTTGCAATGCAATATTGACGTAGTCTATCTGGTTTAAAACTATATACCATAGATTAAGTAAATATAAAAATTTTAAATTTACTTGGTATAATAAATGTTTAGCACCTATCTTTGTATCATTATTAAGTTTAGAATCCCCAGACAAAACTAAATCTTATACTAAATCTACTAAATCTCATACTAAATCATACGTATAAAATATAAATACATATAATTCATATGCTCTGTCCATCCTAAAAGTTATTAAAATAAATATACCTTTTTCAAATATTACGTGAAAAATATTACATGAGTAGTATTGAAATTTGCGCCCCTCTCAGAAGTTTTAGAATTGCGCCCCTGGCCCATGCCCTCTTGCCCTGCTCTGAATACGGCCCTGTACCTATTATAGCTCAATTTTTTTAATAACATAGATAAGTATATAATTTGTCTTTTACCTAGACTGACATATCGTCTCAGCTCAGAATCGTTTTTCTTATACAATGACATTATATCATTGAATTCAAATTTAATACCATCCATTATACAGTGACCCACTTGTAACCTACTGTACACCAGCAGACCACCTTTTTTTAATTTGGTGTGTAAAAACATAAAGAAGTTTTTGGTGAAGTCAGAACCAATAACTTATATTTTTTTGTTTGGAAGAAATAGGCTAAAATAATAATCTTTAAAAAACCAGTGATAAATTTAGATTAGCTCCCATGCAAATTTTTTTTGAAAACCCATGTATTACAATGACTAATGAGTTAACAACGATGGTGTAAAATTTAACTGGCGATAATCATTAGTTTTTAAGTTATGGCCTTACAAAGTTCAAGATTGTTGGTGTTTTAAGCATGCCTACAACTCTATAGTTCACCGCGCTTATAACAAATTTTTCTAATTGTTTTTTAAAACATGAGTAAATTATTTTTGGATTTTTTGAACAAGTTTTTAATGACCGTAACTTCCAAATGAAGTTTCTATAACTTTTTTTCAATGTACCATCAAATTAATCATAAAAAAATCATTTTGAAAAAAGAAAATTCCAAGAAATCACTTTAACTAAACTGCATTCGTTCCAACTATTCGAATAATCGTAAAAAAACATTTAAACAACACTATCGAACTAAATTAAAATTTTAACTAAATTCTATAGTCGTTTTTCAGCAGTGCCCATCACACTAGCGCCTTAAACTAAACATCAAGACAAACATATTAACAAATTATCTTTAGATAATATTATAAATTAGTTCAATTTACAGTAGTAATAAGTTGTATAATGTACAAATATACATTAAAACTAAAAAAAATGAGTAATGGCTTGTTACACAGAACTATTTTATGCCTGGACTAATCATTATTCAATTTATTAATACTCAAATGCAAATAAGAACCTTAATAAATCGGTTTAGTTCTAGAGTCCAACCATTGTTTAACTTAAGTTAATCCTTAATTTGCTTTAAAGTAAATTACATCAAATTGATAACACTTGAAATTACACATTAACATCAAAATTTACATTTAATAATCCATTTATATAAATTAAAAATAACACTTGCTCAGTTTCTCTAAAGCTGTATCTAGTAGAACACTAAAAGTAGTTATTTCTTTTTTACAAATAACATAATAATATATTTTATTCAAACTACTTGACATGATCTATCTATGGAAAAATATGATTTAAATAATACCTAAGCTACTCCTCAAATTTTACAATAATTAAAGTGCTTTGTTCATTATTTTACAATGAATAGAATCAAAAGATTTTTTTTCAAGTCAATAAATATTCTAAAAACTTTATTTATTATTAATATTTCAATTATATGTCATAGGCTATTTGAAAAATTAGCCTTGAAAAACCCTAGGCTCTCTGTAAAGTGGAAGCTTGTTTTGAATTATTTATTTTTTTCCACATATATCATGCAACTTTCTAGGTCCTTTGCATTACGGATGAGTCATAGTGACTAGGTAGGGCAGTTAGGTTTTTTAGAAATATTATTTTTAAAACATAAAAAAATATGGAATGCACATTGTAAGACACAATATTTATGATTATTTATTTTATTATGTTTTATTATATCATATTACATACATATATTTATATATATATCATAATTTATAATATAATAATATATTTTTTTAAATATTTTAAATAATACATATAATAATTAAAAACAATAATAATGTTTTGTTTATTTTTATCACAATAATTGTAATTATTTGTTTTATTACTTGTGTATTATGAGATAAGCATTAAAATATTAGTTAAAGTATAGTTATAGTTATAGTATTCTATGTATAATCAGTGGTTATACTTATTATATTGATAATTAATAGATGGTTTTAAAAAAAAAAAATTCCTTTGAAACTCAAGATACCATGAGAAAACAATTTATAAAAACAAAATATAAGATATTAAATACTATAAATTAAAATAGTTTAAATAGGTATAACATACTATAATAAGATATACAAAACATAATAAAACAAATAGTTATAAATGATTTGTCTTACAATATGCACTACTGTAACAACTCCACAAATTTTCATAGTTTTACAATAGTATTTCAAAATAGCGTAGGTACCTGTCATTGGTCTATAAACATAAAGCAAGAAAATTGTGGTCTGTTTGCAGAAGAAAAAAATAATTAAAAACAGGCTACTCCTTTCTAAAGAGACTTAGATTGTTTAACTTTTCTAGAAAAGACGAGTTTCTTGATTAACCTGTGACATAGGTACATACTGTATATTAACATTTAAAAGTAGCCCAATTACATAATTACTAAAAAGTACTTTCTTAAAACCATACTGATTATAACTAAAAGAGATATTTATCAAGAAATTCCATATACTTATTTTTAATACATTTGTTAAATAACTTTCTAATTGTTAATTTCAATGCAATAGGTCTATAATTATTACAATCTTGATAATTATCTTAAATTTTAATATATAGATAGGTAGCTTATAAATATTATGTATAATCAATAATAAAGCAGGTTTAAAATCAAGCAATTCTATAATCCCATATAGTAGGTAAAACAATATTCACAAATATTTTAAACAATTTTCTAAATAATTTTAATTTAGGTAATTATCTATACCCTCAAACAAAGCTTTACTATTATTTACAATTAAGAAATGTAATTTAATAATATTAACATAATATTAGTTTCTAATACTTTTTTAATACAAAGCTGGACTTAATAGCATTCGCGACTTGGGTCTAAAAGTGTCAATCTCATTTTTTACAACTTTCAGGAATAATACATTTTAATTATCAGATTGGCCATTTTAGTTCTATAACTTGTTGATATGGTTTTTAACATTAGGCCTTGTATCTCAGCTATCACTTATAATATGGTAACCCTATTTTAATGCCCTAAACTCAACTTGGTCAAAAAGTGAGATAGAATCCTCTTAGAATCGAACCACATTATGTTAAATAAATTAAGTTTCAGCATAAACCACTCATATATTTAAAAAAAAAAAAAAAATTAATAAGAACTACAAAAAATGAAACATAATAATTCAATACATATGTTGTATAAGTACTTAAGATTAACTACTATTTTAACTCTATTTAATGAATATTTATATAATCATATTAATGTGTTTGTAATTTTATATTAATTTATAAAAATTAATAAGAACTTAATACTTATGTAACTCTTATTTATTTGATTAAGTAATTTATCTGAAATAAATAGTACTCAAAAGCATAATGATATTAATATTATATTATACAAAAAAAGATAACCATTTAAATCAACAGTTTTGTTGAATGTTACACATTACTAAATTCTAACCCTTGTTGCATAATATATTAACATAAATGCTTTACTTTATTATCTACAAACTGAAATTCCAACAAAGTATAACTATTAGAACTTATTAAATATTTGTAATTGCTTTTGAATTATATTAACTTATTTTAATAAAATAAAGTATACTTAATAGGTACCTAGGTATATAGTTAACAATTAAAACATACAATAAATAATAATAAGTAAAAATAAAACTTTTGTTTACAAATTATGAAAAGTTAAATACATAATAGTGTAATACATACAATTAAATACTATATACAATTTCTTAATAGTTCTTATGATACTTTGAATACATAATTATTCTCTGAATTTACCATCAAAGCCTTTTTCCCTATAGTTGATATTTTTTAGTGCAAACTATTAGAATTTACTTAATATTTATAATCCTGATTTATATTATATTTACTAATAAAATATAGGTAAATCATAATATATATAAAGAAAAAAAAAACTATTGCTTACTTATTTTACTCAATATGAACAATTACATATAATAGTGGATTGAAAGTTTAATACACACAATTGCTTAATCGGTTTTATGATACATTAAGCACATAAATATGTTCTGAACTACCAAAATGCATTTAATATTTGTAAAACTGATTTATATTATATAAACTTATTTTAGTAAAATAAAATATATGTATTAAAAACCTAACATTTAAACATATACCATATCATAATTAGTTTGAAAATATCTGTTGTTATAACGAAAAATTACATATAATATACATAATTAAATATCATAAACATTTCTTTATAAGTTTTATGATACCTAAAATAATTATCTTCTGAGTTTACCACCCAGGCTCTTTTCTTTATAGTTGATATTTTTTTTTGCAGATCTACTAGGTCTTGATGAAATAGTTGAATCATCTGGGGAATCATCAATATCTGATGCACTGCTTGATCCACTTGATCGTTTTGTACGTTTTCGACATGTTACGTTTCTCATCATACTTGAATCAATAGAAGATATTAAATTACTGCGGCGTTCTTCAGTTCCATCAAATGTATTATCTGTAATACCACTTGAAGTAGAAGCAATTGTTGAAACATCAGCCTGAACTTCATTGACTGTAGCTGATCTAGAAGAACTTTGAACATTCTGTATTGCATTAGTAGTATTGTTAGAATTTTGTGTTTGATTTTCTGGAGAATGCAACCAACTAGGACCTTCACCTAAATCTTCATTTAGTCGACGCTGAGGTTCTTCTTCATTAGGAACAGCTTTGGAGTTTTTTAACATGGCTGCAACATCTTTTAATCTTACATATGGTTCCATATTAAGTTTGCATTGTGGTGAACTTCTATAACTTAGTTTTTTTGCTCTTTTTGGAGTTTGTTCAGAACTACGCCGGGGTTGTTCAGTACTACGCCGGGGTTGTTCAGTACTACGCCGGGGTTGTTCAGTACTACGCCGGGGTTTTTTAGTACTACGCCGGGGTTGTTCAGTACTATGCCGGGGTTGTTCAGTACTATTCCGTGGTTGTTCAGTACTATGTCGTGGTTGTTCAATACTATGCCGCGGTTGTTCAATACTACGTCGTGGTTGTTCAATAGTATGTCGTGGTTGTTCAGTACTATTCCGCGGTTGTTCAGTACTATGACGCGGTTGTTCAGTACTACGTCGGGGTTGTTCAGTAACAGGACTTTCGATGATAGGCGACATCATAATATCACATCTCCCTATTCTAATAGCTGGTTGAATGATGGTGTGACCGTTAACCATAGGTCTAACAAATTTTGTCTGTTTTTCTTTCTTTTCCTTGTTAAAGTCTTTGATCTCAAACTTACTCATTTCGTGTACACTTTCTAACATAGATGGGATACATTGCGACATAGTTACCAATGCAGGAATACAGCTTTGAATAGTTTGTTCTAATGCAATAATTTTTTTATTCATTATATTATGCATTGCTGTCAGTTGAACATTAGAATTTCTAATAGAGTTAACTTCAGTTTGCAATGACAATTTCTCCAATGATAAGTTATTCCTAGTGGTTGATAATTCTTTATTTTGGTCCGATAACTCATCAATACGCTTACGTAAATTATTATTGATTACCAAAGCATGATTAAGTTTCTTAATAAAGATGTTATTTTTAGAAGGCTTGTTTCGATTTTTAACCAATAATGATTTGGGTGCCATCTTGAAGTGATATTTAATATCCTTATTAAATTTGTTTTGGGCCTAAAAATAAACAAAATATACTCAGTTAAAAAATGCATACAAAAAAATACATATTAAACTCAGTTAACAAATGTATGTAAAGAATCAGAATATTGTTTAAACATTTTATAGGAGAAGTCAAACAAGTTTTGATTAGGTACCTAACATAACTTATATATTAACTATTTCTAAGTTAAAACTATTGAGAAATCAATAATATACTATATTAATTCTAACCTAAGTCATTATTAATATTACTATTATTTTGTTAAACCGGTATTAAATAAAAGTTAGTCTGTTACACACCGTCAATGCGGTAGTCACGCTATTTCATATTTGTTAGTTGACCATATCTTTATTTAATAAAAGTCAATAAAAATCTGTGTTCGGAAAAAACTCATTCATCGCGTTTACTTTTTTAAGAATAAATTGTGAATGTTACACATTTTTATTAATTAGAACTTAAACTTTAAAAAACTCATATTTTTACTGAATTTCTTAAACTCAAATACCTACCTTTTGCTCTTATTTATTTTTTATCAATCTTTATTATTGCTATAGGTATTTAGGTGGGTATATATTTATTACCAAACTTAAAATAATTTTAGCTAAAAACAAATTTAGTCTCTTTTGCATAGATACTAGGTAGGTATAGACTATAGATAATATTAACATTTAACATCGAGAAATAAGTATAAAAAAAAAACTAATAAGACATAGTGGCTCCGAAATTTCTGAACATATAGGGTAGACAATTATCCATGGAACAGCTTGCCTATATTTTAGATAACATAAATACAATGAAAGTTATTTGCTTCTAAACATTTGGTTTTTTGTTTTTTTTTCATTTGCTTATAAAAATGATTGGTTACTGCTATTAAAAAAAAGAAAGCTGTTACACAGATAAAGTTCTTCTATGCGTGTTGTGAAAATTTGATAGTTATACATTAAATAAAGAGCGAGACAAGTAGTCAAAACAGTTTTTGCTATGTTGTACATTTGTAGGACGGAGACAACCTCTTAAGACTTTGGTGTATATTACCCTAGAAATTAATTTTGATCATATTGACTATGTTTTATCTATAAATGTAAATTGTATTAATAGAAACAAATATTTAAGACCACATTACAAAACCTTATAAAAAAAGGTAATCAAATGATAATTCAGCATAGGTGGCCGGAGTTAAGTTTTACTATTGTGATTAGTCACGTATTAGTCGATATTACCTCAATATCATGAGTATCGAATAAAGGTTTTACCTTTTCCTGTGAATGGTTTTGTAAGCATGCTTCTAATCATATTAAGGGCCGTTCTTACGACGTCCGGTTAAAGTTAACCGACACTTAACCGGAAGAATTCTGCCGGTAATAAAATCTGTTATCAGTCGGTTAGCGTTAACCGACACTTTACCGAACATTGTAAGAACGGCCCTTAATTGATTATAATGACTTTATTAGAGGACATGTTAAGTCGTAAATAGGTACTTGGGTTGTAAAGATATATTATGTTTTAAACATTAAGTGCAATAATAAATTGAGAGCGGTCAGTTCGACCGTAGCGCGTCTAAGACGACGGGTTTAGAATAAGGTCACTCACCTACTAGGTCGTAAACCACGAGAGCTTGGATCGCAAACGGCGACAGAGACGACGGACTCCTGAATGTTCAAGCCGTTAAAATCGCAATTATTACTATTTAGGTACTAACACTCGAAAAAGTTATGGAAAATGGTCGTGTCCGACGAGCTGACAGCGCTGGTCTGTACGACATACACACAGACAAGTACAATATTATTACTGCGATCGCTATGGCGTAAAGGACCGTATTATGGACGGTCGACGATTAGATAAAGAAACATCGAATTTTTCACAAGGAATCTACCTACTTGCGCAAATATTAATGTCGTAAATGTGTAAAATGTAATCAGCTGCAACTTCTGTGCCAGTGATGCAACCGGCGCTATCGGTGAAACGATGTCCGACGGGGTTACGACTGAATTTCAAATACGACAAGAGATCGCCACACACGTTCACCCACACGACCGTCGAGAGCGTAATATTATTTGTTACAGACGCACAGGAGCGCGTGAACCACCAAAAAAAATCAAAAAATTAATTAGATTCCTATGGTAACATATTATAGTGGATTATTATGCACATGGTCTGTAATAAAAATAAAAGAAAGTTTTTGCAGTTTTTCATGTTGAGAAGTGTGTCTATAAACGATTAAATAATTCAGGAGCACAAATTATTTGTGTAAATATTAGCCACATGCCTCGACACGTAGGTTAGTTACCATTAGGGGCCGGAAGTAGGTATATGCACTAAAAACTACCGAAATACGTAAGCACTTATGCGCTTAAATATATTTTTTTTTTATTTTATGTATATGAGGAAAAAAACATTTTTATTTCAATTTCTTTCACCAGTGATTAAAAACATTATTTAATTAATTGATATACATTTTTAAACATTGCAATTTACAATCAACGATTTTGATAAATTCTCAAATATAAACCACTGCTTGTTTATCTTCCATCATATTTTTGTACACCGAAAAGCTCAGCTCCACGTCAACCGAAGACGAAAGAATCGTTAATGGCCGATAAGGATAACTACCTATATTATTACGAAAGTCGATAACTATTAACTTATCGTAATTAAATATTATATTGAGCAAGTGAAACACGTTAAACGCCGACATCGATTCTGCTCAGTCGGTCGACGTAAAAAAATAAAGACGATAAAAGCTAGGTAGCTGTAATTAAAATTTATAAATAATATATTAATATATTATATTAACCATTGGGGAAAAATATTGTTTTTAATGTCAAATGGAAATTTGAAAAATACGATATAAGAATACCTAGTAAGTTCTCTCGATATAAATGTATTAATTTTTTTATTTACGAATTTCCATACTGTATCTTAATAAATTATAAAATATGCACTAAAAAATTGTAAAATTAAGAAATAGATGTGCTCTAAAATTTAAAAACCACTAGATATGCAAAAATATGCACTTTAAACTTTTGATACGTTTTTCGTAGTGGAATGTATTACTAGCTCACTTAGCAAAAAATCTAAAAAAAAACCACGCAAATCCATGAACTCCCGGGCCCTAATAATAATATGGAGATTTGGAGCACACCATAATGTGTGTTTTATTACTCTATGGTGTGCACCAATCTTATTTTTATCGTGTCGCGATGCCGCATCGTTCGTCGAAACGATACCTAACACATGCCAATGAGTATGTGCTCTCAAGTCAACTAATATTAATTACTACTATAAATTATAATTACCAAGATATTGTGCAAGGTGGATTTATATTTAATCCACCTTGATAATGTGTTTATCATAGATAAGTAGGTATATATTATAATAATTTATGATAAATCAATAATAACTACTTAGTTATTTTTTCTAATTTAATTATATTTTAATGTGGTTAAAAGCTTAAAAAATGTAATTTAGATAGGTAAGTAGGTACATTCTTTGGGTATGCACCCATAACAAAATTAATATTTTTGCCATCTTACATATGGATCTTATAAATTTTTTGTGCACCGTCTCAGGTGAACCCCACGAACCGCCACTGCACACAACAAAAATACATAGTAGCATTTTGTAATGATAATATTAATGTTATACTAATATATTATAATGACGAAAAATTTTAGTTTAATGTCATAGTAAAATTTTCAAACAAAAAATTGCTACCTATATAGTCATCGGCGAACACTCGAACAGGACGTGCGGAATGGCTCCGAAGAATAAAATTTCAAATCAACAATCCAACACGGCTGTAGCGTCACCATCCGTTCCCTTTTCGTGTCGTACTCTTACTTGTTTTGCAAAGGATATAGAATGTTGTCTTTAGTATTTCACAGCCTTTTGTACATAATTGAATATTTGATTACGAGATGATGATTCAGTGAAATTACTAGGAAAAAAATGTATACATATTTTGCCGAGATAAATAATTTTAAGTTCCTTATTACTTACGTAGGTATATTAGTTATGAACTATATTCTATAATATTTCTTTCCGTCGAGAGAAGATAACAAAAATATCGCAAGTACAAAACTACAAACAACAGTTGGTAAATTAGATTAGATAACAGTTCATTTACATTGTAATTTTTATACGTATAGCCATAGGAACTGTATTTACTGTATAGCCGTCATTCGTCAAGGCATAGACGATAGACGTATAAACTAATGAACAGCGCTCAGAGAGAGAAACCACCGGACGAGTCAACAAGAATAAATCAATAAAGGTTAAAAGGTCCCCCCACATTGCAGCGGTGGAGGTAAAATGAGTCCAGACACAATTCACGGCCACCGCGGCGCACCTCAAAGACAGCATTTTTTTGTTTAAAAATATTATTATAACATTATAATTTATAATAACGAATACTATTAGTGTAATGTTATTATAACAATATTATAATATGATCATTACAAAATGCTGTTTGGCTAACCTTTACGAGATCAGTGGAGAGAGAAATAATGTCGGACGACGATCGTACTTTTCTGATATTTTCACAATCTAAAATTTCTGAATTCGTCATGAAATTTACTTGATAAAAAGATTTTTAAACTTCTTTGAAATTAAACTCTTAAACATTTCAAAATGTCGACTTTACATTTTGAACATTCAAAATGTCTAAATGTTAATAATATTTAACTCAACAAACAAATTAAAAAAAGGTGGGCAAGTGGGTGTCGCTCTGCTGTACAGTAGGTTACAAGTGGGTCACTGTATAATGGATGATATTAAATTTGAATTCAACGATATAATATCATTGTATAAGAAAAACGATTCTGAGCGGAGACAGTATGTCAGTCTAGGTATAAGACATATTATATACATTATACATATCTATGGTACTAAACCAAAATTTGACCTATAATAGGTAGGTCCCTATAATAAATTCCAAAATTAATCATATCAAAATATCCATTAGGTATTTATA